GCCAGTCCTGCTTGCACCCGCTGCCAGCGCCCAGCACTGGTCCAGATCGCTCAGCGCTGTCAGTGGGTGTGAGTGGTGGCTGCCAGCCCCAATCACCCCTGAGGGCTTCTCCACCTCCCCCTGCTCCTGAGGTGCAGCAGCTGCCACTCGCACCCGCTGACAGCGCTGGCTCCGCTTGCACCTGCTGCTGGCACCAACCCCAATTGGTCCACGCCATCAGCAGTGCTGAGCAGGGGGCCGGCACCATCAACATGTGGGAGCAGCGAAGGTGGGAGCAGGGCTGCCAGCAGACAGGGGACTGAGAGCTGCAGCGGGAGGGGCTGGGCAGGGGCGCGAAGGATGGGCCGAGACCCACCCCTGTGCCCACCACAGCCTCGTGGCCCACAGTTCCTTTCAAGGTGCACGAATTCATGCACTGGCCCCTAGTTAAATATAATAAGTGAAAAGAAACAAGGCACAAAATTTTGTGCACAATGAGTACAATTAATTTTTAAGCCAAGAACCTGTGAATAGAAACCAAAATGTTGGTTGTCTTTTGAGTGGTTGGAATGTTGCTGATTCTTTAAAATTTTTATTTAATGAAATAGTTTTAAAATGTAAATATTACCAGTTAATATTTGAGGTTAATAATTGATATTGGTATATTTTATTTAAAACTATTGATTCAATTCAATGAACATTTACATTGAGCACTTCCTATATTCTCAGTATTGTGTTAGGAGCTAAAAAAGAGGGATATAAAGGCATAAAAAATATCCTGATTTTTAGGATACAGTTAGCTAAAAATCCTGGTTACATATGATGCATTCTTTTGTGTGTTCATTCAACATTGGTGAATTAATATTGAACATCAGGAGGGAGCAATACCTGTGCTTGATGGAAGGTTTGGGGAAGTGTCAGTAAAGTATAGGTCATGTAGCTCTATCAAATTATTGATTTACTCAGATCTCAGGAGACACCCATTTTATCCCCTTTTAAAACCTTTTTAAGCCATGAAAACAAAATTTTGATTGTACAAGTAGGACATGAAGCTTGTTGCAGAGATGAGTATGATGAACCGTCCATACTATATTGCAGATCTGAGAAGAGTGAGTAATATGGAATTGAGTGGATATTGGAAGGCTGAATGTTAATATACATTTTATTTATTTAATTTTTATTTTTTTAAATTATATTTTTATTGACTTCAGAGAGGAAGGGAGAGGGAGAGATAGAAACATCAATGATGAGAGAGATTCACTGATTGGCTGCCTCCTGCACACCCCGCACTGGGGATCAAGCCCGCAATCCAGGCATGTGCCCCTGACCAGAATCGAACCTGGGACCCTTCAGTTTGCAGGCCAACGCTCTATCCACTGAGCCAAACCAGCCAGGGCATTTATTTAGTTTTTAAAATATTTATTGTTGAAAGTATTACATATGTCCCATTTTTCTCCCATTGACCCCTTCTAGCCCACCCTCAACCCCGGTCCGAGACCTTCACCACCCTATTATCTGTGTCCATGGGTTATGCATGTTAATAGACATTTTAAGTGACTTCCATATATAACTCTATGATTTCAAAACTTATTTTTAAAAAAATGGCCAGGTTTGATCTTTAGCTTAAAATTTCAACATAATTAGGACATGAACATATGAAAAGAGAAATGGTACTTCTTAAAGAGACTCATCACAACTATTTTATTCTTTAAAATTTCTATTCTTATATATTTTGAAATACTTCAAAAATAAGAGATAATTAAAACTGTAAGTATATCAAAGAGGGAATATCCAGATATGCCACTTCCCATATTATTAACTTGTCTATTTAGATGAAAGGAAATCAAGGAAAAAATGGCAGGAAGTTCTTTCCAACTCAGCTTAAACAGGCCAGCTGCTTTGACTCTCTCAACCTCCATTTCACCCTCCTTCTATTTAGAGAAGCTAAAGAGTAACATTTTCCAGGCTCTTGCAGCTAGCATTGTGGGTGTGCAATATGCAATAAACATGTACTTGTGATTTGGAAGGGAGACAAAGGAGAGCTTCCTGCCTCAGGGCGAGCTGACAAGCAGGTTCTGACTGACACAAGTTTGCATGGATCCACCATGTCGCCCTCCAGACACATTTTCCTGAATTTGAGGCAGCCATGGCAGTGACAGCAGTGGGAGCCATAGCGGCTTCCTGCCTTCTGGATCATAGCTATGAAAGTATGACTCCAGAACAAACCTATATTCGTGCTCTTCCAGCTCTTCCAGCGAATTTATGAGCACATACTTCCCTTGAGTAAACTCCTTATATACTAGAAATGCCTAGAATAATCTATTTTCCTACCCGAAACCCGGTGTGATAAACTGCCCCAGAATCTTTTCTTTTTTAGATACAGGGAATTTTATTAAATTGGCATAGTTGGGACCAAAGAGATAAAATGATCACTGCCAGCTTATCTGCAGCCCTTCCTTTTAACAGGCTAATGAGCACCACCTGAAAGCTAGTCTTGCAGGTCTGAGAGACAGTGAAGGGGTTTCCTCAGAATTTAAACATATTAACACAACCAGTCATATAAATCTAAATGTAAGCCAGTCTCCTACAGGTTTTGAGATGGCACTCGCCACCTCTGTGAAAAGTTGAACACTAGGAATCAAGTCCCACCATATTGTTAGAAGGGGGGACAGTGCTTGCTGAACCAAAATTATCATCAAAGCTCACAAAGCTGACCATATTCATTTAACCACAAGTCAATCTCATTTAAATCAGGACTGCCCGAAAGAAATGCTCTAATAGCCATTCATCATCTGAATTCTGGTGTATGAGATCAATTTAAATATGGTAGACATAAAAAAAGTCATGAGACATTTGTAATAAATAAGGCAGTGGCCAACTATTACTCATTAGTAGCTTTTTTGAGATAAGCTATCAAGTCTGCCCTCTCTGCACTCTTCTTAATGCCAGCGAAGATCGTTTTTTTTCCAGGGATGCACTTCTTGGGATTCTCCAAAGTGTAGACTCACCCCAGATGATACCTTTGTTCTTGTTGGCATCTGTGTAAGAAAATCCAGGGGCCTGACCTGTCTTTTGCCCAAAGAGACCATGGAGATTTGGCCCAGTCTTGTGCTTGCCTCCCTTTTCCACAGTATGGCACTGGGCACACTTCTGAACAAAAATCTTCTTGCCCTTCTCAACATCACCCATTTTTAAATCGCTTGTTAGTTGTGTGCAACACGGAGATGCCCACTCGCAAGCCGGACATCCCACTCTCTGCCCCAGAATCTTGATGTGAGAATTAAATATAACATATACAAATCACTTTGGATAGTTCCTGACACTTTGTACTCAATTACATGTTAGTTATTTAAATTTTTGTGAGGGAGATGAGATTAATCTGAAAGGAAAAATCTAGACCAGGAGTCAAAAACTGGGTTTCAGGACAAATTGAACTGACCACCTGTTTTTGTTTGTTGGTTTGGTTTGGTTTTTAGAGAGAGTGGAAGGGAGGGGGGTGAGAGAGAGAGAAACATGAATGTGAGAGAGAGAGACATTGATTAATTGCCTCACATGGGCACCCCTACAGGGCTGGGTATCAAAGCTGGAATGTGCCCTTGGTTGGGAATTGAACTCGGTGTGCAGGCCTATGTTCTAACAACTAAGTCACACCAACCAGGGCTGACCATCTGTTTTTGTAAAGTATTATCAGAACACCGCCATGGTCATTTGTTTACATGTCATCTATGGCTGTTTTCACTTTGCAAAGTCATGGTTACTACAGAGATGGAATAAACCATGAAACCTAAAATATTTATTAACTGGCCCTTATAGAAAAAAATTGCCAACCTCTGATCTGAACTATCAAAAAGATTCAGAAGTGTGAGTACTGGGAACCACTCATGAAAACAATCATCCTCTTGACACCGAATTGTCATATTTAGAAAAAAATAGGAAATTCCTTATCTGCAAGGATTTATAGTAGAGCATTGGGGATGGGTGAAAATAACTTACTTAAATTACGACACCATGCAAAATTCTGATTTTATAAGTTAAATCAAAGGGATAAAGGACGTTAAAACTGATGTTACATGGGGCATCAGCAAATAATTTGGTGGTACTCATTTTCCAAGGTTTTCCTCCAAATAATGCATCCTAGCTTAGAAAGTGACCATTTGAGAAGTGGGTAGTGTGTCGGACTGCGTGAAGGGTCCTGGGTTCAATTCTGGTCAAGAGCATGTACTTCGGTTGCAGGCTCAATCCCCGGCCCTGGTTGGAGCCCATACAGAAGGCAATCGATGTGTCTCTCTCACATCGATGTTTCTCTCTCTCTGTCTCTCCCCTTCCTTTCCACTCTCTCTAAAAATCAATGGAAAAATGACCTGGCTGCAACATGGAACGAGACTGGGACCCCAGCTCACCTTTCTCAGGACTGTATTAAACACATTAACTATGTGTTTTAACCAAGGTCACCTCTCTGAGAAAGGTTGTTTCCCCAGGTGAGGATTTTTACCCTGGAGTTAGGGATTAACAGGAATAAGGAAGAGAATAAATCAGTAAATCCCCCTAGTGTTACAAAAATACCATGTACTACTTATGAAGAACTTGGACTAAGACTGTTGGCAATAAATGTGGGACTTGTTGGGCCTACATCCCCAGGGGTCTGCCCACCAAGGAAAGCACCAAAGCCTATACCACTGGAGACCCACCGACACAGGGCAGTCCCAGGGAAGGCAAGCAGCGAGGCTGGGAGGACATAACCTTTACTGGGGAGGATAATCTCCTTCAGTTACTTCCTCCTCCTGGAATGGAGATAAGAAACCCCCTAACCTTTGGAATAGAATTGATAGGATTAAAATCAACTGGTATAAATACTGATGTAACAAGACAATAAACACAGAACATGGCAAGAGAACCTGGACAGACCTGGCTGGAGATCCAGACTAGAGAACCTGGCTATGATGATTGACTAAAAGCTGCCTCCGTGTCCTTCATTCTTCCCCGACTCCGTCCACACCTTTGGGAACCCCTGGACCTGCTGGGGTCGGACCCCAACAACTGGTCCGCAGAGCTGTTGGCGGCTGCCGGTGGGAAATGGCGGAGTATTTGGCCTCCATCTTCCACACCGAGAAGGACAAAGTCAACTGTTCATTTTATTTCAAAATTGGAGCATGTCGTCATGGAGACAGATGCTCTCGGTTGCACAATAAACCAACCTTTAGCCAGACCATTGCCCTCTTGAACATTTACCGTAACCCTAAAAACTCTTCCCAGTCTGCTGACGGTTTGCGCTGTGCTGTGAGCGATGTCGAGATGCAGGAACACTATGACGCGTTTTTTGAGGAGGTTTTCACAGAAATGGAGGAGAAGTACGGTGAGGTGGAGGAGATGAATGTTTGTGATAACCTCGGAGATCACCTCGTTGGAAACGTGTATGTGAAGTTTCGCCGTGAAGAAGATGCGGAGAAAGCTGTGATTGATTTGAACAACCGCTGGTTCAACGGGCAGCCCATCCACGCTGAGCTTTCCCCCGTGACCGACTTCCGGGAAGCCTGTTGCCGCCAGTATGAAATGGGAGAGTGTACACGAGGCGGCTTCTGCAACTTCATGCATCTGAAGCCGATTTCCAGAGAGCTGCGGCGGGAGCTGAATCCAGGTCCGGGTCCCAGGAGCGTCTCTCTCGGTCTAGAGACCCGGGTTGTGGTGGTGGCGGAGGTGGTGGCAGAGGCGGTGGGGGACGGGAGCGTGACAGGAGGCGGTCAAGAGAGCGTGAGAGATCTAGGTGATTCTGAGCCAGGCCATTTTTACCGATGTCTGCTAGCAAGTGTTGTAGTTGATTGACCAAACCAGTTCATAATGGGAATTAAAAAAGAAAAAGAAAAACCTGACCGCAGTTTCTGTGTCATTCTTTCTTCGCCGACTCCGTCCACACCTTTGGGAACCCCTGGACCTGCTGGGGATGGACCCCAACAGAAAGTCAATTGATTGTAAATGTGAGGGTTTTTTCTGGACTCCCATTCTACTTCATTGATCTACATGTGTATACATATGCCAGTACCACACTTGCCTTCGGGGAATGGACAGCTCCTGTTCAAGCAGGACTGCGCATGAGTCCAGGACTGCAAGAGAAGGTGAGTGGAAAGGTAGGGAGGAGTGGTACTTGTGCTTTTCTTTGGTTCCTCTGTAGGTATTCTTGCTGCATCCCCAAGTTTATTCTGAGTAGATGGGAACATGTCTGTGTCCGGTACAGTGCCCACTTATTTTGTAGTGTTGTTTTTAACATTTCCATCTCCACAACCATACCTTTCTAGAGCAGCTGGTAGGCAGGGGAAAGGAAGCAAAACCAAAGCCTGCGCAGGTGGTTGAGAACCATTATGGCTTCTTTTATCTTCCAGCCACTTAATTCCTAAAGTGTTTCACTGGCATGCATAGTGTGGGGAGTGCATAAAGAAATAATCAGTTTCAAGTTTCATATATTTACAGTGGAATAGTATGCAGAGTTATTTTTGTTTTTCTCCAGACAGAAAGCAACTCTGAGAAACAGCCTGACAAATGTGGATTTGAGTGAAATGTTTCATGACCTTGTAGAAGAAAAAGTAATTTTCTTAGTAATGAAACAATCTCTTAAAGTCATAGGACTATTATCTTATAAAATGTTTTAAAATGCACTGATCTGATGATATATATATATATATAAAATTTATTTCAGAGTGGAAGGGAGAGGAAGAGAGAAACAGAAACACCAATGGTGAGAGAGAATCATTGATTGGCTGCCTCCTGCATGCCCCACACTGGGGATAGAGCCTGAAACCCAGGCATGTGCCCTAACTGGGAATTGAACCATGACCTCCTGGTTCTTAGGTTGATGCTCAATCACTGATCCACACTGGCTGGGATGATGATTTTGATTTTACTATATCTGGATTTCTGACAGTGTTATGGGTTGAATTGTGTCCCTCCGAAATTCATATGTTGAAGTCTTAACCCATAATACCTCCAGATGTGACTATATTTGGAAGTAGGATTAAAGAGACAATTAAGTTAAAATTAGGTCAATAGAATGGGCACTAATCCAATGTGAATGGTATTTTTATAAGAAGAAATTAGGTCAGAAACACATACAGAGTGCAGACCATGTGAAGAAACAGGGAGAAGACAGCCATCCACAGCCTCAGAAGAAACAATCTTCCCAATTCCTTGATCTCAGACTTTTAACCTCCAGAATTGTAAGAAAATAAATATTTGTTATTTAGGCCACTTGATCTGCAGTACCTTGTTATGGCAGCCCTAATACAATTGGCTTCAAAATATGTGCGAAAGGGGTTGTGGCTTTCCAATTAGATACCCTTGATTTAGATAATATCATACAGCACCAAAGAAGAAATCCTCCAAAATAATCAATTTTGACAATGTAGCTTTCCTGATAATATTAATTATATTCTACTAAGGAATAAGAACTCAGAAATTCAGGGTTATGGCCCTGTTCAGTTGGTGGCAGTTAGTGAAGTGTATGTGGCCGTAAGCCATTGTCTAACCAAAAATTGGTTTATCAATATGTAAAATTGATATGATTATATTCTTTTCCTTCATGAAGCCTATAACTAAATAACATAAATGGGGAAATTTTAATCATAAACCCTTTATTCAAAATAAAGTTGGTAATTTGATTCTGTTACCTGAAAAATTATATTTTGATGATACTTCTTGGGTATCAGATGAAAAAAGTATGGGAAAAGATTATAAAGAGAGAAAAAGAACAGGAAGAGTATTCACTGGATTTTAATTAAAATGTTATTTGTTGAGTGTTGCACTCTACTAGAGTGAAAGAGATGTGTGTGTTATAAAAACTAATTAAGACTGCCTTTTGCTCGCAAAGAGAAACAGCTGGGTTTTAGCATTTGCATGTATTCAAGATCAGTATTCACAGAGAAAAAGAAAATGCATAGCCAGTTGGAGAAGAAAATGAAAATTTAGCTTACTCACCAGTCATTAAAAGCATTCTTTATGTGCACATGGAAAATAAAGCTCATCAGGTTTATAATCCAGCCACTTCCAGTTCTTATAAAGCTTAATGTCTTGATTAGATAACATTTTTAGTTAGATGTTTTAAACCTAAAATTAGAAAGTTGTGCAATGTAACCATTTATTCACACTGCTACCATACAGTGTCTCTGGGAATCCATAAACCATGAACATGTGCCTACCCTGACTTCTAAAAATCTGGAATTCTGGGATAAGATGATAGGATGGTGACCCAAAGAAATCAGAGCTTCCTTTCATCCCCATATCTTTGCATCGATTTGAAATTTAACAAGTCTGAGAATCTGAGAAAAGGAAAATCCTCACAACAGATTCATTGATAACCCCAAAGGAAGTTGTCATGCCTTAACGTGCCCTTTCCAAAACAAAGCAGCAGG